TAGACAAAAGATCTGCGAAAAACGGTTGATGAGCTGGCCCCAATAACAGTGTGAATATCCGCCGATTTTGCGTGCGGACGAAAATTCGGCCGATAAACGACCAAATCTATGGCCTGCATTATGGTGTAGGGAAATACACCTTACTGGACTCTTTTCTGACACTTTGTTTATCCTTTTGTTAAGCAAGCGTCTCCCATCTTATTTTTTGTATCAGTGTGCAGTGTTAACAAAGTGCTAGAAAAAAGTAAAAAGTTTGTTTTTGGCAGAAACTACTTACAAAGTCTATTCTACAAAAACATTAAAAAAAAGCTCTACCACTAACCACTGTCAATTGTCTTTCAGCTTCAGATCAGTTTGGTTCAGTTGGATATCATTCCACATCCTCAATACTTTTTTTTTTTCAGCCAGGCATTTCTCTGCACTAGTCCACTTCACTCATTTTTGTAAGTATTAAGATCTTTCTCACAGCTACCAATTAGATCTGAATGTGATCTACTACAGGAAGTGTAGACAAGGTGGCACAGTACAGGCTTATGGAAGTGTTTTGTTACATCTTCCTGCTGACCTAGTTAGGTGGTCTGTGTGTGCTGCGAATTTTGGGAATTGCTCTTGAGCCACTTCACTAGCACTGTACATATTAAAAAAGCAGACTGGTAGACTTGCATTTCCAGAGTGCCATTTAGAAAACATACACTGAAGGCTAGTGTGAATGTGAATGGCTGTGATCTGAACAATCATCAGGTAGCTCCAATTAACCACTTGCCTACCAGACACTTTTACCCCCTTCCTGCCCAGGCCAATTTTCAGCTTTCATCACTGACGCCCTTTGAATGACAATTGTGCGATCATGAAACACTTTATCCAAACTAAATTTTTTTACCATTTTTTTTAGACAAACAGAGATTTCTTTTTGTGGTATTTAATCATCACGGGGTTTTGGGGTTTTTTGCTAATTAAACAAAAAAAAATCAAACATTGTGACAAAAAAGTTTTTCTTAGTTTCTGTTATAAAGTTTTGTAAATAAGTGACTTTTCTCCTTCACTGATGTGCGCTGATGAAGCTGCACTGATAGGCTGCACTGATATGCAGCACTGATGGGCACTGATAGGTGGCACTGATGGGCAATGATAGGTGGCACTGTTGGGCACTGACAGGCATCACTGAGGAGGCTATGATAGCCAGCACAGATGGGCATTGAAAGCCAGCACAGATGGACACTGAAAGCTAGCACAGATGGGCACTAAAAGCCAGCACAGATGGGCACTATTGGTTGCACTGATGGGCTACACTGATCATCAGGGCACTGATGATGGTCAGTGTAGATGTCCCCTGAGAAATGTCACTTACCGGCTCTCCTCTCCTCATGCGTGAGGAGAGGACTGCCAATAGCCTGCATTTCCTATTTACACTGTGATCAGCTGTGATTGGACACAGCTGGTCACATGGTAAAAGGATGCTCTGATTGGCCCTTTACTTGGACACGTGATCAGTTGTGCCCGAAGCTGTGTCACAGATCGTGCATGGGGGGTGTGGGGTTCTGGGAGAACGTCCATGGACGCCCGCCCAGAACTAGCCGACAACGCTGTAGCCATCTTTTGGCTATAGCATGGTCAGGAAGTGGTTACAGACACACAATGGAGTTGATTTACTAAAACTGGAGAGTGCTGAAATAAAATCTGGTGCAGCTGTGCAAGGTAGCTAATTCACTTCTAGCGTCAGCTTGTTCAATTAAATTTGGACAAAAACTTGGAAGCTTATGGGTTTCTATGCAAAGCTGCACCAGATGTTGCACTCTGCAGTTTTAGTAAATCAACCCCAATGTATAGAGCTGATAAGACTGGCTCTGTACCCTGTGAATCCTGCTGACCAATTACTGCGATCACAAATGGAAACACTGAAGTGCTTACCTCTGAGAACCCTCTCCTTCCTCTCCCAACAGAGGAAAAGTGGAAAATAGTATTTATGAATGACAATTAAATGAATGAAGGAATTCTAGGCAGCAGAAGAATGGTGAGGAATTTTAACTGGTCGGGGGGATTGTTTTTTTTTTTGTTGTTGTTTTTTAGCCTTTCTTCTCGTGTGCATCATCTCATCCTCCATCCTATCTCTCTGTGGATTGTATATTAGCCTTTACTTCCCATATCATACACATTAACTCCATCGTCTCCAAAAAGGCTTAAGTTTGGGTATTTTGTACTGTCCTTTCCTTTGTATTTATGTGCTTCCTTTCATTTGTTTTATTAAACATATTGGAAGTACTAGCGTATTTTTCAAAATATAAAATTGTATGTTTTAAAAGATACTTACATACACATGTGCGTAAAAATGCAGTTACACGTGTATAGCAGCGTATTCTGCCATACATGTCAATTGGCTAAATTACACTGCAGCTGTGGCTCCTGGGCACCACAACCACAAGCAGATTTGACTCTATACAGCCATACATCCTAATGTAAGGTTATGTGCAAGAGCCCCAAAGAGTCTGCAGAAGCAGAAAAGCTCAAGACGGACCATAACTGATGTTTATGACTTTAATTTCACTGGTCTGATTTATACAATTAATATGTCCAAATTCAGTGTTGCACCCTGGTACCAAAAAAAAGCTTTATTGAGGCATCGAAAGATGTACATACAAAACAGTGTTGCACTTTCATATGTCTGTTATCTATTCAACATTTTTTTTTTATCTTTAATATTCTGTGGAAATGGATGATTTCAGTAGCTGTGATTTTCTTAGCCTGAAATAATTTGTGTAGCACATGTGGAGCAATTTTAAGGGAAGATGCAACAAATTTTACCCTCGGGCTGCCTTTTTTTGTCTGATGAGCTGTATAATTATCATAGAGAACAAATTCAGTGCTGTGTAAATGAACAGAATTCTTCAGTGAGCCAAAAGCACAGTTTAGATCAAAAGAACACATTTCCCTCCTAAAAAGTAAACGCAGCAATATGCCTTTTATAAACTTTTAAGAAGTCTACAGTTGAAAGTGAAGCTCCACCTGCTTCATGTGTACTTATACATTTTAATTAGATAAATGCCTCCTTTTATAAATCCTTATGGGATTCTTCTTCAGGCTGCATGTTTTAGGCTGTGCAAGTTTGAAGCAGTGCTAAAGCTTACTGAAACCCCCACTGAAACCAGTTAGCTGCTTATTTAAAGGGACAGACAGCATTGCCTTTATGATGTGCTTGACTTTCCCAATCTAAAACTTTTAAAGTTGCTTGAACTTGCTGAAAATTTTGCAACTGCTTTGCGAAAGCTTGCTATACACACCGCTCTTATATGAGCAGAAGCCAATGAGGTGGATTTACTAATTACAGACTGTTCACTTTGCGAATGGAGTTGCGCTCTGCAAGGGAATTATCCCCAGAGTTTAGTGAATGAGGTTAAGCTCTGCTGATGTTTATCATTCAATCATGTATAAACAAAAATGCTGTTTTTTTTTCTCTTTTCTCTTCTTTTTTCTTTGCACACAATGGGTATTCTTTGTAAAGTGAAGCTTCACCACATCCACTAAGCTCTGGGGAAAATTCACTTGCAGAGTGAAACTTAAAGTGTTACATTGAAAATCATCATGCCAAGCAACTGTACAGAAATCAAAAAACAGTGAAATTCAATGTGCAAAACAATATGAGCATCAGCTACATACAGTATAGAGCACTATGTTCCGGCAGCAGTACAGGGACTTCCTGCCCTGTTCCTGGAACAAAATTGAGTCACGTTGAACGCTGCTCAGCCATCCACAGGAAGACTTATATTTATAAAGTTGTATTAGTGAAAGAAATGTTGTTTGTTTACAGTTAAATGAAACCTGAAGGTAGGCTTTAAAGTGTTACTAAACCCTCAACAGTAAAATCAGTCTGTATATGCAGTAAAGCATGCTTGTTATACTCACTGTGGTGCCTAAGGGGTTAATCCTCTGCATTGTTTAAAAAGGCTGTTTGATCCTGTCTTCTCTGATCACCCCTTTCTTCCAGTGTCCCCCTCTTATCTCCTGATAAGACATATCATGTGATGTCACTCTGCAAATGCTCAATTGGTGTGTATTGCTAGAGAGGTTTTTGTCTTCTCTGATCCTCCCCTTCCTCTACTCTCCCCAATCCATCTGCTGACAGTACAGAGCTCTAGGAGTCACTCTACACATGCTCGGTTTAGTGTGTATTACTAGAGATTTTTTTTGTCTTTGGGAGGGTGCATGTGATTGGCATAGGGCCAATCAGCACTGTCCAGACAGAGGGTCGGGGGCTATGCAGCCTTATAGGACAGTCAGAGCAAAATGAAAAATCCTCCTACAAGATTAACCAGTGCTCAGCTGGACACTGATAGAAATCACAAGACTGCTATATACTGCTGATGAGAAAAGGTATTTAGCAGTTTATATTTACTAAAATATATTCATTTCCATGTTCTGTGTACTGTGGAATCCCGGATATAGTGAATGCAGGGTCCTGGTTTTAGTAACACTTTAACGCAAAATGAAAAGTCTGTTTGCCTTTAGTAAATCATCTCCAATGCGTAAAAGACCTACTGTAAATAGGGAAGCCTGGGTCAGGATGACTATCCTAAGACTTGAACCTGCAGAAAAACTAGTCAGTGGTGGCAGCTGCCATATTTGTAACCTCATGTGCATTACCAAGTCTGATCAGTGATATAATGTCTGTCATTTTAAAGAGCCTGTCTAAAAGTGCAGGAGTGTAGAGGTGTCTACACATATCTTCAGCAGACTCAAAAGGCCAGCAGATACGGCAAAATTCTGACCATTTCCATCAGGCAAAGCACACCTTCTCACTCATAGTTCCAGAGCTTTGCTATCTTTTCCTTTCTGCAGCACATTTTTATTGGTTATTAAGGCAGCCATTTGAAGTACCGTATTTTTTGCTCCATAAGACGCACTCCCCCCCCGGAAAAAAAAAATGGGGGAAAATGTCTGTGCGTCCTATGGAGCGGCCAGCCCGGTATTCCCGCTGCCACCGTGTTAGAATACCGGGCTGACTGCTTGGCTCTTCTTTGTTGCAGAACCTGCTCCTTGGTGCTACATGTTCCTCGGTCCAGCGGTGTACTCACCGTCTTCTTTCCCTGGTGCTGGCATCTTTAGTATGGGCACCCGGCTGTGACAGTTTGCGGCTTCACGGCTGGGGGCCCACTGTGCATGTGTGAGAAACGCTGCACTTTGTGAATGGTCCAGCAGTCTTCTGGGACCTGTCATGTGTTCCAGAAGATGGGGAGGGAAAAAAACTCAGTGGAAGTGGGTACCTGTCAAATTCGGGTTCCCGCTCTCCCCCTTCTGTTCTCCAAAGGTCTGCAGTCTCTGGTCATCTCCTGTATTATGTCCGCAGTCTCTGGTCATCTCCTGTAGTATGTCCACAGTCTCTGGTCATCTCATGTACTGTGTCCGCAGTCTCTGGTCATCTCCTGTACTATGTCTGCAGTCTCTGGTCATCTCCTGTACTATGTCTGCAGTCTCTGGTCATCTCCTGTACTATGTCTGCAGTCTCTGGTCATCCCCTGTACTGTGTCTGCAGTCTCTGGTCATCTCATGTACTATGTCTGCAGTCTCTGGTCATCTCTTGTAGTATGTCCGCAGTCTCTGGTCACCCCTGTACTGTGTCTGCAGTCTCTGGTCATCTCCTGTAATGTGTCCGCAGTCTCTGGTCATCTCCTGTGCTGTGTCCGCAGTCTCTGGTCATCTCCTGTGCTGTGTCCGCAGTCTCTGGTCATCTCCTGTACTACGTCCGCAGTCTCTGGTCATCTCCTGTACTATGTCCGCAGTCTCTGGTCATCTCCTGTACTATGTCTGCAGTCTCTGGTCATTTCCTGTACTATGTCTGCAGTCCATTGGTTCATAATATTTTTTTTTTCTTCCTCTAAAACCTAGGTATGTGTTATGAAGCGAAAAATACGGTAATAAGCCATTAGGAATATGAGGGGTTGGACTTGGTGGCCAGCTTCCAACAGTACCTGAAAGTGTCAGAACTTTGTCTTACAAAATGACCTGGGCATGCCTTTAGACTTTTAGAAACTACTGCTGGTATGTGCATTCTCCTCCACATGCCTGCAGTTTATACCTGTTTTAGTTTTATATTTGTGTTTTTTAAAAAAAAAAAAGAGAGCTTGAATAGTTGGTCACCATTCACGTCTCACTATGGAGAACATTTCCAATTTCCTCTTCCAAGAGGTTCACATTAGGTAGCAGTGACATGCTCACAACCCATGATTCCTTTAGAGGGTGGGTACGAACAGCCAGTTGAGCCGGGCATAGAGCACCTGGTTGTTACCCGCCCACAGGCATGGATTGGCAGCTGCGATCTCCCGCAGACACCACTCACATATACACCCACACTATTACTATATGCCGAATGATTCACGTGGTTGTACTTCTACTTTTCACCAGTAAACACATTGGATGTGACGTGTGATGCCTTTGTCGATCCTCCTACAGGCACCTGGCCAGACTAAAATTATCATTTGCAAGTGAAGACGCCAGGGGAAATAATAACAAAGATTACTAAGAAAATAAGAGACACATGAAAAAAAATGCCATTTTTGATGTGCATGGGAACAGGGAGCTATAAAATGAATAGTTGGCTGGATAGTGAAGCTCAGTTTAAGACAGAACTTCACTCTCTCAATCAACATTTACTATTTTTAATCTTTATGCTGCTAAGCACTAGTAAATGGATAGGAAAGTACAGTGAGGAACAGAAGTATTTGAACACCCTGCGATTTTGCAAGTTCTCCCACTTAGAAATCATGGAGGGGTCTGAAATTCACATTGTAGGTGCATTCCCACTCTGAGAGACAGAATTAAAAAAAAAATTCAGGAAATCACATTGTATGATTTTTAAAGAATTTATTTGTCTTGCACTGCTGAACATAAGTATTTGAACACCTGAGAAAATCAGTGTTAATATTTGGTACAGAAGCCTTTGTTTGCAATTACAGAGGTCAAACGTTTCCTGTAGTTCTTGACCAGGTTTGCACACACTGCAACAGGGATTTTGGCCCACATCCTCCACACAGATCTCCTCTAGATCTGTCAGGTTTCGGGGCTGTCGCTGTGAGCAACACGGAGTTTCAGCTCCCTCCAAAGATGTTCTATTGGATTTAGGTCTGGAGACATTGAAGATGGTCGTGGCTGGGTCTTCCAACATGACAACGACCCGAAGCACACAGCCAGGATAGCCAAGGAGTGGCTCGTAAGAGAGCATATCAAGGTTCTGGAGTGGCCTAGCCAGTTCAGACTCCAGACCTAAATCCAATAGAACATCTTTGGAGGGAGCTGAAACTCTATTTTGCTCAGCGACAGCCCCGAAACCTGACAGATCTAGAGGAGATCTGTGTGGAGGAGTGGGCCAAAATCCCTGTTGCAGTGTGTGCAAACCTGGTCAACTAGAAACTACAGGAAACGTTTTTTTTTTTGAGCCTCTGTTATTGCAAAAATAAAGGCCATTCTGTACCTATGAGGGGTTAACACTGGACTTTGGCCAGGTGTTCCAACAGTACCTGAAAGTGTCAGAACTTGTCTTACAAAATGACCTGGGCATGCCTTTAGACTTTTAGAAACTACTGCTGGTATGTGCATTCTCCTCCACATGCCTGCAGTTTATACCTTTTTAGTTTTAATTTGTGTTTTAAAAAAAAAAAAAGAGAGCTTGAATAGTTGGTCACCATTCACGTCTCACTATGGAAACATTTCCAATTTCCTCTTCCAAGAGGTTCACATTAGGTAGCAGTGACATGCTCACACCATGATTCCTTTAGAGGGTGGGTACGAACAGCCAGTTGAGCCGGGCATAGAGCACCTGGTTGTTACCCGCCCACAGGCATGGATTGGCAGCTGCGATCTCCCGCAGACACCACTCACATATACACCCACACTATTACTATATGCCGAATGATTCACGTGGTTGTACTTCTACTTTTCACCAGTAAACACATTGGATGTGATGTGTGATGCCTTTGTCGATCCTCCTACAGGCACCTGGCCAGACTAAAAATTATCATTTGCAAGTGAAGACGCCAGGGGAAATAATAACAAAGATTACTAAGAAAATAAGAGACACATGAAAAAAAAAATGCCATTTTTGATGTGCATGGGAACAGGGAGCTATAAATGAATAGTTGGCTGGATAGTGAAGCTCAGTTTAAGACAGAACTTCACTCTCTCAAATCAACATTTACTATTTTTAATCTTTATGCTGCTAGCACTAGTAAATGGATAGGAAAGTACAGTGAGGAACAGAAGTATTTGAACACCCTGCGATTTTGCAAGTTCTCCCACTTAGAAATCATGGAGGGGTCTGAAATTCACATTGTAGGTGCATTTGAGAGACAGAATTAAAAAAAAAATTCAGAAATCACATTGTATGATTTTTAAAGAATTTATTTGTCTTGCACTGCTGAACATAAGTATTTGAACACCTGAGAAAATCAGTGTTAATATTTGGTACAGAAGCCTTTGTTTGCAATTACAGAGGTCAAACGTTTCCTGTAGTTCTTGACCAGGTTTGCACACACTGCAACAGGGATTTTGGCCCACTCCTCCACACAGATCTCCTCTAGATCTGTCAGGTTTCGGGGCTGTCGCTGAGCAACACGGAGTTTCAGCTCCCTCCAAAGATGTTCTATTGGATTTAGGTCTGGAGACATTGAAGATGGGTCGTGGCTGGGTCTTCCAACATGACAACGACCCGAAGCACACAGCCAGGATAGCCAAGGAGTGGCTCCGTAAGAAGCATATCAAGGTTCTGGAGTGGCCTAGCCAGTCTCCAGACCTAAATCCAATAGAACATCTTTGGAGGGAGCTGAAACTCTATTTTGCTCAGCGACAGCCCCGAAACCTGACAGATGGTTTGGCCTGGCCTGGCTGATGCTTTATCAAGGTTTCACGTTACTGGTAAAATTAAGAGCAATCTAGATCATTTATGCTTTAGAGAGAAATTGACTTTCTGACACTAAATCACAGAGTCGAACTGTAAATCATTGGCTGTGGAGACGGGAATCTCATCAAAGTGGCCTTGAAGAGAAAGCACGAGTTGCAATGCTGCAGAGCACAAGAATTATTTTAGTATTACTTGGTGTCTTTAGTATGGTTTATTCTTCAGAATGGACTTCTAACCATTTGTATTTACATACTCCATTTCTGGTCTGGTTTTTTTCATTCCTTTTTCTAATACATATCATCGGTCTCAGAATCTTTTGCCTGAAAGGTCAAAACTTACCGTATTTTCCGGCGTATAAGACGACTGGGCGTATAAGACGACCCCCTACTTTTCCTGTTAAAATATAGGGTTTGAGCTATACTCGCCGTATAAGACTACCCCTCTTCCAACGCACACCAAATAAAAATGAAAAAACATCAGATTTGATTTTCAATATGGTATGGTATTTCAGTATGGTATTCCAATGATGGGGTGCTATTCCTCCCACTGACACCAATGATGGGGCATGATTCCTCCCACTGATACCAATGATGAGGTACTACTCCTCCCACTGACACTAATGATGGGGCACTATTTCATCCACTGACACCAATGATGGGGCACTATTCCTCCCACTGATACCAATGATGGGACACTATTCCTCCCACTGACACCAATGATGATGCCCCATCAGTAGTGTCAGTGTGTGAGGAATAGTGTCCCATCATTAGTGTCAGTGGGAGGAATAGTGCCCCATCATTAGTCAGTGGGAGGAATAGTGCCCCATCATTGGTGTCAGTGGGAAGAATCGTGCCCCATCATTGGTGTCAGTGGGAGGAATAGTGTCCCATCATTAGTGTCAGTGGAAGGAATAGTGCCCCATCATTGGTATCAGTGGGGAGGAGGAATAGTGCCCCATCGTTGGTGTCAGTGGGGAGGAGGAATAGTGCCCCATGGTTGGTGTCAGTGGGGGAGGAATAGTGCCCCATCATTGGTGTCAGTGGGGAGAATAGTGCCCCATCATTGGTGTCAGTGGGGGAGGAATAGTGCCCCATCATTGGTGTCAGTGGGGGAGGAATAGTGCCCCATCATTGGTGTCAGTGGGGGAGGAATAGTGCCCCATCATTGGTGTCAGTGGGGAGGAGGAATAGTGCCCCATCGTTGGTGTCAGTGGAGGAGGAATAGTGCCCCATCGTTAGTGTCAGTGGGGGAGAGGAGTGGCTGCTCCTTCTTTCAGTTCGGTCGCTTGATTTTCGCGGGGCCGTTCGGCTCCGCCTCCTCGCCGGTGATTGGTCGCCTGTGTGCGCTGGCGCCCAATCACTGGTGAGGATGCGGAGCCGAGCGGTGCCGCGCGACCGAACTGAAAGAAGGAGCAGCCGCGCTTCCTGGACCGGATCGTCGTGGGACTGGGACCGGAGCCAGGTAAGGTACAGCAGCCCCTCTGCCCACCCCTGTACTTAGTGTCCGTTGGAGGACACCGCCCCTCGAAAAAGTGGTGCCCTGACACCGGCTTGCCGTATACCGGCATATAAGACGACCCCCGACTTTTCAGAAGATTTTCACGGGTTGAAAAGTCGTCTTATACACCGGCAAATACGGTAACTTGAATTTGGGTATGAATGGTATTTGTTTGCAATATTAACTCCTTAAAGTCCAACAATATTCATTCTATATCCTGATAAGCAAAGGCTTGAATGGATCTCTTGTTCTGTATTAATAGGCTTTCATGTGCACATAAATGTACACATTTGTGTATTGATTAGCATTACCATGCATGTATGTTAATGCATAAGTTCACCTTTCGAAATTTTTTTTATATATTTGACATTTTTTG